TCAAAGAAAAATTATTCTCATTATCGCCTGCCTTTTTTGTGCCTCCTGTCATCAGCTCGCAGGAAATCCACAGAGAGGCCGAAACTGAAAAAAAGAAAGCCCATGCGAGCAAGGAGTGCGACGGCATTCTCCTTGATATGCCAAATACTCACTGGTCGAGAAAGGGGCTGGGACATGGAATTCCAATTCAGAGAATCAGAAGTTATAAGGCCATTGAAGAGGTGATCAATAGAGGAAGACCTCCTCAAAACTGCCAAAAGCGATTATGGGTCTTCTTCTCACCCGACCCACGGCGCAATGAAGCTTGCCCTGAGACGGTTTCTGCCAGGCAGAAGAAGAACGACGGGGGAATGGCAATATTCCTTCGCAGACACAAGTCCTACGACCAGTTCTATTCGGAGGATATCACAAGGACACTCAACAGATGGAAGACAGAGTTCCATTTGGTCATTTACGACCTAAAACCATCCAAATATGGAATGAATTGGATGCCGTGGTACTTACGCAAGTATGTGAGGAGTGTAGTAAGCTTCCAGTTTGACGGTGACTTTTCTGGTCAGTACTGGACGTGCCACTTCTTGAAATCAAATCAAAGTTGGGGCAAGGGTGACGAAATAGGGCTACTTTCCCAAGACTGGGATCTTCCTGATGTCTCTAGGGAAGAGAGAATTGAGCGATTCGCGCAAGCAGTGAGAAACCTTCTCCGGAGCGGAGATGCGAAGTCCAACGACATTCGCCTTGGCAAGGATGCTTGGCATCAGCGCAGAGTCCTAGAACTGATTCTTTTCGGCACTGCAGCAGAGAAGCTACACACGGGCGCCAATAACATTTTCGAGGCGGCGGAACAGACTTTCGCCAGCACACAGCGATTCGAGAATCGGAGCTTGGAGAAGGAGAGAAATCACGACGTCTTGTTCCGCAAGGCTAGGCACATACAGGGCGCCCTGTCAAATATCCAGACAGTGAAGATGGCTCTCGACCAAAACATCGAAGAAATCAATTTGTGGGTGAAACGGGAAGATATTCGCAACAAGGCAGGTCAGAAATTTGCAGATGATGAGAACCATTGTCGAGAGATTTTGCAAGACTTGGAGAGCTCGAACGATCACAAAATACTCCATATTCGCCGCGTTCGGTCCCGCATTGAGCATTTAGAGCAATCGATGTCAAGAAGGTTGGCGCTGATGTTCGGTGAGATGGAGAGACGACGCGCGGATAACATCCGTCAGTTCACTTACGTAACGATCGTGTTTCTCCCATTAGGTTTTGCAACTGGCGTATTCAGTACGAGCGGCGCACCGGCAAGCGGAACGCTTAAAGGCATGGTTTTCACGGCAATCGTGGCCTTAGCTATTACTGCGCTATTGCTGTTCTATGCAAAGTCAGCCAGGAAGTTTCATTTCTGGGGAAGTCACTGGTTGAACGATGAAACACGTCTAAGAAGAATGAAAATGTGGTGGATACTTTACGCCTGGGATGGGCGCTTTCGCAGGTGGATACAGCGTTTCATCCCCTCTGTCTCTGTGGAAAGAAGAATGAGAGAGCCGGCTTTGGAGGACTTCTATTGAAGAGCTTGACAGAGCGCTATGTTGGAGCATTCCATGCGGAGCGTCATAGATTATTGGAGATGGACAACTGCGGAGATATCATTTTGGACTGGTGCGGCTATCGTGTTGTTGAAGAAGTATTTCCGTTGAAAGCAAAGCTCTGCTGGTCAATTCTTTCATTCCTGTATCTCACCCTTCCAAAAGAAAAATGCAACGATGTTCATTTGCATAAGGTACTATACATCAAGTGACCCGAGTAGATGGGTGCATACATCCGGATACTAGACGCGGCCAATGGGCATCTAAAAAAAAAGATAACTTTCTACAAATTGGCCTTCAGACATAGATCCTACTGCTTGTGTACCATGCCACCTGTTTGGAAGGGATCCTGCCGGCTCACAATTGGCCAGTCTGCGTGTCTAATCCGGCGCAATGGGATTCGGCGGTCTGGCAGGAATCTTGTAACAGCTATACTATTCTTTGCTAGCAGACATCTGTAGCAAAGCTGCCAAACTTTAAGGTCAACAAACGAGGAGGATTCCCCCGGCTTGGATTGGTAGTCTCAGCCAAACACTTGCAGGTAGTCAATGTCCGCATAGAAATATTGCACGTAGATGTATAAAGTACCTAGAGATACGAAGACAGCGATTGATCCAAGAATCGAGTTTTGTCAGGCTGAATATCCGATACGATTAAATATTCAGGGTAATCTGTATTTGCCAGGCCAAAGCCGGCCGGCAGTCGGCGACTTAGCAAGGTGAAGGGGAGGCAATGATGGGCGCTATCCTCCCAGCGCATGCCTTTGTGATCTTAGGTAGTATGTGATGATGCTCCGAGGATACTCGATACCCCATATTTCCTTCCAAAACGAGTGTGCTGGTTGACATTAAGGAACGGCTTTGGTAGTGACAGTTTGAAATCGAGGGCAGAGAAAAAGAAAAAAGCACACTCCCCATCCAGTTCCAACGACATGATATTACAATAAATCTTTAACGACGCTTAGCAACGCCGTGCCGCTTGAGGAAATCAACACGTTCCTGGCGGTTGGTGAGAGCCTCGTATGCAGGAGCATGCTCGGAGTCGCGGGATAGCTTCCAGACATTGGTGGCATCACGGACGGCATAAGCCGTGTGCTGAGTCTGACGCCAACCCTCCGAGCGCTTGGCCTTCTTGTTCTTCTGGATCCAAGTCTCCTTCTTAGGAGAGACGTCGCGAGCGTGGCGGCGACCGTGGTCGCCACCACCATCATCCTCGCCGTCCTCATCACCATCAGTCGGCTCCTCGTCGGTGCTGGGATCCTCATCGCCGCCCTCTTCGCCGAGGGCGCCAGCAGCGGAGCCCTGCGGGATATCAGTTGTAGCGCAAGTGTCGTCCTTGGCCAGCTGAAGACCACAGCGATTCTCGGAGTCCGGGGCCTGGCCCTGGTCTAGTCCATACAGGACAACGCCGCCCTGGTCGTCGCTGGCCTGGGCGGAACTGTACAGGGTATTGACAGCGCCATTGCAGCAGTCCCCAACGACTTGCTCCTCACAGACGATGCTGATCTCCTCATCTGGGCAGTCAGAGTCTTCGTTCAAGTAGATATCGAAGGCGAAGGCGCGGTGGCCAAGCAGGAGAAGAGAGGCAAAGATGGCAAGAGTGTTAATACGCATGATGGCGGGTCAAGCTAAAATTTGATACTGGGTTGTATAAAGGGACAGGAAGAATTGTGTGCTAATGTAGAGGTGTTCGTGTCTGATGAGGAACGGAAAGATCGACTTACTGCCATGATTCTGGGTTTCCTTTATACTTTGCGATGCCATCCTGGAAGCGCTTGAATGTTGTTACTGTTGAGCTCCGGATGTGCTGGGCGACAAGAAACAGAACAGTGTCTGAGCTTGGGAAGTTCCTGACAATCAAGTGACGATTTGTGACGGGATAGTAAGCTGTAAATTCAGAGATCGTCACGAACAGCTGATTCTCCTGCTGACGACAGCCCGGTACAAAGGAATGCGGCCTTCGGACCCTCGGTGAAATTGTGATCGCAACTGTAAAGAACTTTTGATGATGCTACCGTGCGTAATAGTGCTTTTCAGAGGTTCTTGCTGCACCTGCAACTGCGGCTCTGAGGTCGTGCAAAAACACAGGCTGTAGATCCTTGCACCCTTACAGTCCGTTGAATAGTCAACGTGTAGACAAAGTCGGGCGTCGGGTGGAGATGGGTCGCCGGAGGCTGTGACAATAGTCTTGTGGTGAGAGGATTTGTGATAATGCAACTCTAAGACTCTCAAATTTTCCCGATTGCGAAGAGCTGTGATTGGGGGCGAGGCAGTGTTTCGAAGGCAGCCGCCAAGACACCAAGGAAGATCTCGATGACAAGATGTGCCGGCTTTTTGCAGGAGCCGCTTCATAATCTCCAATATTCTCCGAAAGACGTGTAGGTCGCGGGTTTGTGATTCGTCCGGAAGACGTAATCAAGCAGCTGATTGGTTACGACTCTGCAGAGTGTTCCCGGCGCCGCCGCATGGCACTTTATGGGACTTTGGTTTTATCAGCCCGAAGTAGACTAATCGAACGGCTCGCGCCCGGTGCAGTCCACCTGTCAGACCGGTACAGACACGATATGATGATTTATCAAAGTCCCGAGTTGGGCTGAAAGGTCTTGGCCTGCGTCCTGTCGATCAATATTGAATAAGGATTACTGATGATACGGAAAAGGTGATCAAACGTTCATCTACTTCCGTTTAGAGCTGAAGGCCTGGTCCGATAATTGGCTTTGACCCCTTTTGGGATTCATCTATACATAGAATGAGTAAGATTCTTTTGCGCTTCAACTTCGCATTGTGACAAATTCATTACATCCGGAATACTTCATAGCTTCGAGGATGCTACCCAAAAGGTACCAGAAGTCACGATAGAAAATCAAGAATGTGTTCTGGCCCTCTGTGTCTCTCAAATATCCTGTCATCGCAACATGAGTTACGCCAAAACCCTGCTGGCTGTACCATCATGGTCTCATCTCGATCTTCTTCTGGTGTCAGGAATTATCACGGAGACGTCGGATGACTGAAGTCAGCTCAGGGTTGAATTCCGGCTCACCGACGGCAATGATTTGCGAAGTGTCTAATCGAATAGAGACTCAACTTTCTACTCGGCTTTTGTGAATTGTACTTTGGTAAAATGATTGCGTATTCTTTCACTAAGTTTGGAGCCAGCGTGTTGCGATGCGGGAATTTAGGCTGCATTCCTCCTATAGGCTATTTGTGATGTTGTCATGATTATCTTTGACGACCGCTGCCAAATGGCCCGAAACAATCGCCAAAGTATATAATGCTTTGATATTCTCGTATAGCGTTCACTTTAATTCTTAAGTAAGCCTTCTCACCAGATTCTCAAGCAACGATTCATTAATCACCCGCACCAAAGGACCAGTTTTACTTTCAAGTCCTCAAACTACTTCACCAATTCAAAACGATGTTCTCCAACGCCAACCTTGTCATGGCCCTGGCCAGTACCCTCAGCCTCTTCCGTCCCGCCGCTGCCGGAAACCTCTGCCTGTCCTATACCTACCAAGTCCAGGGCGGCAACGGCGCACACGACTGGCGGACCTTCGCGGCCGGCAGCCCGTGCGATACCACCAATGTCTTCGACGAGGACATCTGCTCGTCGCTGCCGGCGAGTGACAACATTTGCGATGTTGACTACACTCTTGTCTCAGCTGAGGATGACACGATTGACGATGCCGACTGCAGCATTGCCATTGAGATCGACGGCACCGTCTACCACGGACGTCTGTCGGATGGCGGTCTGGACGGCAGCGAGTGTGGTGCCGATTGTGGATTCCCGCCGCGCGAGTTCAAGAGCAACTACATCTTTGAGAATGTGCCCATGTGCGATTAAGGCTTCATAAGGTCTTGAGATGGGCCGGAACGGACTTTGACAGCAGATGACACCTACGGCTAGTCAGGGGGAGCGCACAAGTGTCAGAGAATTCGAACAGCTTGGATTTATGTATACCAGAGCCAGTCATTACCACATATCTCCTAGTCACATACACTCGTTGATTGTCTCATTCCACCTTGAATTGAATTACAAAATGATCAAAGTGACGCCCCATCATGGCATGCGAACGCCTGCTAGCCAACTGTCTCTGCCTTCCCCATTTTCGCTACGTGACAGAATGTGAGTCAAAAGTGAACTTTGTATGTCTACCGCCCACGGACTTTAGCAGGCCTTCATACCGGCCGGTGCGGGTGGGATACCGATGATGCCTTATGTCCGAGGTCGGAGGGACTTTTCGGCCTTCACATATTTGATCTCAAAAGCAGCAAAATCAAGTCAGACATTTCACTCTTTATTACCTACATTCTCGGGCAATAGCAGCACCAGCTTACCAAGTGACAACAGCTGAAAATTGAAGATATCGGCTTCAGGACTGAGAAGCACGTCTGGGCTTCACAACAAAACAAGATTTCTAAATGTCTAAACCATTTTTCCTGTCAACCTCACCTTCATCACCGTCCATACTTAAGCACGAACTCAACTCCATCCTGGCAGGCTCCAGTACCCAGGAACGAAACGGCCCAAAATTCCATTGGTGAGTCTCCGTACCTGCTCCACTGACCTGGGGCCGAGGGCCATCGGCTTGTGACTCGCCACGGTAACGGCCTGAACGTCTGCCTCCGCAGGCAAGAAGGCCATTTCCGCCATCGCCGCGCCCAAGTCTCCATATGATGCTGATGCAGCCGGCTCATCGATGCTGATCGTATAGCCCGAATACTCCCCCTCGAAAAGAAAAGGGGCGTGGAACAAGGTGACCGTGACCAGCGACGACGAGATGAGCTTCTTCTCGGCCGTGGCTAGGTCAAAGTAGATGTGATTCAAGGAACTCATGATCAGCCAATGTACCCAAGCTGGTCGGTGTGATGATAGCTTCTCGCTTATAGATTCAGATGAAAGGAACGTCATGTGCGGCCGCCGCCACGTTCCTCCCGCTTCCGCCTTCTCGTGTAACTCGCTTAACGCTGCAAGAATTGCTTCAACAGCATCGCGGTGCATGCGCATCCCGGGTTGGTTGTCGTTGCTGCCGATGGTGCACATGATATGTGTTGCGTCCGACAGGCAGTGCACCATGAGGGCATGGTCGCTCAGTTGGCCCTCGGTGATCTCCACGTGGGAGTAGCTTTCAATGCCTGGGAAGAGTAGCTTGAGCTTGCGCGCTGACCGGACAAAGACATGGATCTTGGTCGATTTGTTTGTGTCGAATAGGAGTGATTTCAAGACTGCGCTGCCGGTGCTGCCGGTACAACCAAAGAAGGCGAGCTTTTGAACCTCTGATGCAGCCATCTTAATGTTTTGGTCTTGTTTAAGTGTTTGAGAAATTAGAAAGACTATAATGACTATGGGAGATGTGGCTTTGTGGAGTGAAAACTCACTCTAAACCGAGCATATATACATCATGAAGAGACGATCTCAGCGCTGAGCCGGTCACTGAAGGACGCCGAAGAACCGGAGGTTGAATTCCGTTAACAGTAGCTTCGGAGTGCCGATAGACGCGAAGCACAAGCGAACCTATGCTGGCCAACTGACAAATGCAAAGACGTGGAGTTGTATTTGTGTCCGCCGGCATTTGGCCCGTACCAAATTCCTTGGCGTCAGGTCCGCGGCTCTGGCCCTTGCTCAGTGGGAGCCGGCCGCATCGGATGAACATGGAGATTTGTTCGGTTAAGGCTCCGATCAGATTCTAAACTTCGGCCTCGGTCCTGAAGTTCTAATAAGCCCGCAATTGGCTCATGAAACTGTTCATGGATCCGCTGTAAAGATCAACATGTCAAAGATCCAGTCGTGGAAACGGTTGAAAGCCTGCTATATGAGTCTAAGGGCCACTGTCTGAGCCCGCCATGAAATATTTTGAGCCCGGTGTTATTACGTAGGCGGTTCTTTAATTATTGATCGTCAACTTCATATTCATAAAGATGCAAAAGACGTCAAAAATGAGAGCCGCAGGTATTGGCTTGCTTGTTTTCATACAGAAATCTTTGGCCATCTCCGTTGGGTGCAAAACACTCGCTCAGGTGTCCCCGGATATCACTTTTCAACCAGGATCTGCAGTTTCGGAGTATGAAAAGCGCAATTTCTGGTCCAATACCCGTAAGGCCTTGAAGGTCTCTCACACTTGCATGAAAGTTGGTAAACTGATCGGCTACGGTGTAGAGATACTCAACCCAGGCTGCATCTTTGTGCCTACCTCAGCTCATCAGGTCAGCACCGCCATGAGCGCAGTGAAGTCCGTCAACGGCTCCTTCGCCGTCAGAGGCGGTGGTCACACGGCCATTCCGGGGGCGAATAGCATCGACGGAGATGTGCTCATCGCCTTCTCCAACATGACACGACTGGAACTCTCCGCTGAACGCAGCCACGTTCAGCTCGGTCCAGGGCTGCGTTGGGGAGAGGTTTACAACGCCCTTGAGCCGTACGATCTTACCGTCGCCGGCGGCCGCGTAGCACCCGTTGGCGTTCCGGGGCTGTTGTTGGCTGGCGGAATAGGCTTTTACAGCAACAAGTATGGCTTCTCAGCCAACACGGTCAGCAGCTTTGAGGTTGTCCTCGCGGATGGGAGAATCGTGAACGCGACCGCTTCTAATGAGTACAATGACCTCTTTTGGGCGGTGAGCATTCTCCGAGAAATCTGCGGCAGAGGTCGAAGCTGATATTGCTCCCAGTTGAAAGGAGGCGGCCCGAACTTTGGACTCGTCACATCGTTCGAACTCCAGACCATACCCAGCCCAAGAGTATTTGCCGGCGTTCTGCAATTCGAGTCTTCCCAATTTGAAGCCTTCTTTGAGGCTGTCGCTGCCTATTCCGCGGACATCTTCGACGCAAAGTCACACATCATCCCCACAGTAGGATTTGCCAGAGACGATGGTACAGACGAGATCTCGGCCTACGCATACGTCGTGTTATTCTACGACGATCCGTATGAGACAGAGCCTGGGATCTTCCGCCGGTTTCTCGACATACCCAACGTCGGCAACACGCTGAGTCACCTGACTGTCGCAAATCTCGCTTTTGAGACTGGAAAGTCCGTCATGGATGGCCAGGGTGATATTCTCACCGGAGGAACGATCGCGTCAACGGACTTTGAAGGACTGCTTGCCGGCATCCAACTCATCGGCGAGATCTTCAAAGAGGCGGTAAGATCGATCCAGGCACAAGTTCCTGCCGGTACCTTCGCATCCACGGAGGTGTACTTCCAGCCCCTGGGCCGAGACTTCATCGCCGCCTCTCAGAAAGACGGTGCTGGTGGAGGGCCTCTGTCGCTGGACGAGTCCGTGGGTACATACATCGTCTATGCCATTGCGTTGACCTGGGTCGACTCTCAGTACGACGACGTTATCTCCGCTTGGATTGAGAAGACAGTCCAAACGATTGACAGTGCCACGGGTGAGGCAGGCCTTCATCACCCTTTCAGATATATGGGTGACTCTGGCGCTTTCCAAGTCGTTGATTTCTTCGGCGGCTACCCTGCCGACGCTGTCAAGCAGCTGAACGATGTCGCACGGAAATATGATCCTGATGGATTCTTTCAGAAGAGCATGCTGGGTGGCTTCAAGTTGTCCGCCTCGAAGGGATCCAGCAACAACGGTGTGTGAGGTGTTGACGGGAGTCAGTCCTACGACGCCGGTATCTTTGGACAGGGGGACGGCAGGGTCTCGGGACTTCATGGCTTTGATGTCCCCGTGTAAAGATAAAAACACGAATGCCAGTGTGTTGGATAATCTGGTCGTGAGGGAACATCCTTGAGGATACGTCTTCATGATATCAAGGCTTGTAGAAACTAGTCATCTCAAAAAGACCGCCCGCTCTGCGCGGATTAAATAAGTAGCAGACGTAAGATGCCAAGCCAACATCAACCAAAACTCCCCATCACCAACAGCAAAAAGACCCTGCATAAGCGAGACCCTTTTCAGATACCCGGCCAGTGAAAATTCACAGAAAATGAATGCCCCCTAAAATTGCAGTGCTGCTGGCTACACCCGCTCGCCGACGCGCCTGAAGCGTGGTCTTTTTAGCAATCATTACCCCTGTCGACCATGTGCCCCCCTCCCCAGAGACTTTGGTGCCTGCACTAGCTCACGGCTGCCAGAGGGGGGGGCTTTTTACACATGTCGGGTTCTTTTGGCCAATTCGAATTACTGCCTACCAAAAAGACCGCTTGGGGATGGGTAGTTTCTGGAGAGGGTGGACCATGGGTATTTTTGATGACGACGCATGCATTTTGGAATGTTTTGGGAATGTTTCGCTGTTCGATGTTCGATAGACTACATGATTTTGTATTTTTGTCCGCGTGAGGAAAGAACCGCAAAAAGACCCTTTTGAGGAGCCTGTGGTGGCGAAGGAGTTCGACTCCTCGTCACTGAGGATTGACGCTCCTCAGCACATGAGGATCGCGACCACCGCAGCGGTCTTTTCATGACCTTTCGAGAGCCTGTGAGGATTTGGAAACGGTGTATAAGAGATCGATGAAGGTTAACGAAAAAAGCTTCCATTTTCAATCTCTCCATCACTACTCTCATCAGAACCCAATTGCGAAGACTCTTGTCCACGTTTCCCTGTCACTTCCAGCCCGTCGCATCACCTGCATCCGTCGCGAAGATGTCTTCCCAACAGCCAAACCAATACACCACCCAATACGTCGCCGTCCCCCGTCAGCACCAAGACCAGACGCCGACACATTTCACATATCAACAGCAGGGTGGTTCCGCTACGCTCAACACCTGGCTCTCCCAGGGCGAGTCTGCGAGTCCGTACCACAACATCGGGGCATACCGGCCGGTCACCGGCTCCGAAAGTGGGGCCAGTACATGGGGTGCGGCACCGGGTAGCAATGGAGCTACGCG